GAACTCAGTCATTCCTTGTCCTTCACCTTTTTGCCTTTCGTATCCTTCCTGCGTACTCTCTCTCCCTCTTTCTCACCCATTGCCCTCTCCCCCTTTTTCCTATCCTCCTCCCTCTTTTGTCACCGTCTCTCCCCTCCTCCTTCCCCTCCCTCATGGAGCATTTATTCTCTTTGTCAGAGGCCGGGTTTGATACCACGGGGCTAGAGTGGTTTCTTCTGCTTGGGATCCCCCAGGAACTGAAGGATTGTCTAGAGGAGACAACCTAGGGCAGCTGAGCTCTGTGGTAACTGATGAATCGGGCAGACTGTGTGCTCCTAGGTGGGTGTGGTGGCCAGTCCCCCTCCTGAGGAGTAGCCTCCTCACTAGCCTGAGAGCGACAGTGGGGAAGGTGGCAGGCTTCTGTTCAGCGACACCTACAGCACCAGGGCCACCATGTCATAAACCTTCACCTTCATTTTTTTCTTGCTTCCTCCTTTCCAAGAGGATCCTTCTTTTTCACTGTCCTTTCCCATATTCCACCAGCCAATGGCCGTTCCCCCTTTCTCATTCCTGGATCGATTCTGAGACCGACTCACCTTCTTCACCCTTCTCTCTCTCTCTCTCCCACCAGGCTTCCAGCTGCGCAGGGTGGAGGAGCAGCAGGAACAAGAGAAGCGGGACGTGGTGGGCAATGACGTGGCCACCATCCTGTCGCGTCGCATTGCTGTTGAGTACAGTGACTCAGAAGATGACTCCTCTGAGTTTGATGAGGACGACTGGTCGGATTAGCTCTTTCTGCCTGCTGCCTACCTCTTCTCTTTTCTTCTTACCTGCCTTTTGTGATGCCTACCCCAACAGTCCCAGGGGGAAAAGGGGGAGGGGAAAAATGATTTCAAGGGGCCAAAGCCTTCCCTGAAGCTACCAAAGATATATCCATGTGCTTCCTCCAAATCAACATGTGTTTCCCACCTCCCACAGTCAGGCCCCATGGGGCCCCTGAGGGGGCCAGTAGCTGAGATGTTCTCTCTTCCCTTCATATTGAAGAGAAGGGAAAACCCCAAAGCTGATCCCTTTGAGTGGGTGTAAATTGGAGTTGGTGCCTTTCCCTAGGAGCCATTTTCCACTGTGGTCTCCCTAAATCCTTGCCCTCAGCTACTTCGAATAATGCCAGCCGCTTCGTGGTCCTAAAGCCTGCATGGACACAGCTGGCCCCTTTCCCATGCCCTGGGAGGTCGGCAGGCTGCGTGCCCAGCAGCCAGACTGCTGCACCCTTCGGCCCCGATCAGCAGGGCGAGGCTGCCTTTTGCTAAGCTCTTTCTGTATCTGGATCCCCTTTATTCCAGGAGCCATCAAGCCCCTAAAGAAGGTCTCAGCCCCTCTGCCCAGAAATGATGCCTTTATGAGACTGAGGTGTTTGCCTCCCCCCCAGGCCCCGTCTCCTGAGTGTGGTGTTTGGGTTTCCTTTACATGCCTCTCCGTTGTCACCAGGTGCCTCTGGGCACCATGGCCCAGTTCTGACCTCTGATACCCATGACCAAACTAGCCCTGACACACAGGGATCTGGGCCTCTGCTGACGTCAGGAGCCAAGCTTAGAGACTGGGAACTGCAGAGCTGGAGGAACGGGGGCACACCTTGGGCCCTACCCTCTTAGTGATGCTGAAGTCTACAGATGGGAAGTGACTTGCTCAAGGTCGCGCAGTTGGATCGTAACAGGGCTAGAGCCCAGGGTTTCTGATTCCAGGTCACCTGTGCTTTCTGGGACCAAATAGTAGGCACCTGCTGGAGCCTGGGCAGAGCATCCTCGGCTCTGCTGCTTCCGACCTCACCATAAGGGGGGTCCCAGCAGGAGGGCTCGGGGCCTGTGCCCGGCCCTCAGTGCTGCTCAGACCCTTGTGGCCTCTCGTAATTCTTTGCTTCCTCTTTGCTATCTATCTACCAGCCAACTGGCCTTGGGAACTGCCCGATTGGGGGACTAGAGGTAGTGAGAGAAGGAAGGGGTTGGGCAGCTTTGACAGGTGCTGTTTTCAATTCCTCTTCAACTCCTCCCCCTTTTATTTCCCCAATTTCTGCCAAAGGTAGAAACTTCAGTCCCTCAGGCTGGCAGCCGTGGCAGGGAGCTGCCTGGGGGGCCTGGCAGCCCTGAGGAAGGCTGAAAACAGAGGGACTGTAGGTCTTGTTTCCAGCTCCCCTCCTCACTACACAGTGATGTTCCCGCCCTTCCTCCCCCTTTTCCCAGAGCTAATACACAGGTGCTATTATTCAGAAAAAACTGGTCAGCTTTGGCCAGCAATGAGGTTTCTTCTCTTCTGCCCCAACTATTGTGTAGCCTCTTATGCTGAAACCGGCTTCTCCTGGCTTCTCCTGCTTTCAGAGCCCTGAAACAAAGAGAAACTGGATCTGTCTGTACCCCGCACAGCAAATGGTTGTAGTAATTGCCAAAGCCCTCATAAACCCTCCGGCTTGAGGAGAGTGTAATCATGGGTACCGCGCTGTGCCCGGCTGAATGCGCCCCCTCTGCCTCTTTTCCTTGAACTCGGGCCTGTGGGGCCAGCACGCCCTCCTCCTGGGCTGCCTCAGAGTGCCCCTCCCCCTCCCCCAGGTCAGTGTCTCTGGCGCAGGGCCAGCACCTGGCTAGTGCTGAGCATGCCAGGCTGTGTGTGTGCCCCTGCCTCGCTTCCCACCTTGCACTTGGAAGCTGAAGGTACATTCTTCAGAACCCTGAAATGGCTGTTGAAGGTGTCCCCGCTGCAGCCCAGGAGTGGTGGAGAGGCAGGCGGAGGGCAGTGGTTCTCCCAAATAGGAGTCCTGGGGCCTGGCCAGGCCAGGGTTTGGGCCTAATGGCTTTGACTAAATTACTCCCATCCCCCTCCTTCCGGAAAAAGGGGGAGTCAGTGCCACTCGCTATCGTTCTGCTCTGACCTTGAAGGGGGTGGTGTTGGCCTGGCTTCTGGAATGGACAGTCCGCTGTGGAAAGGTCTGGGGGCAGGAGGAGGTGGGGAGGGGCACTGCCTGCGGAAGGTAGGATTAGATCATTAGCTCAGTGACCTCCTAGGGTTTCGATGTGCTGTGTTCTCATCCTACAGCTGGTTTGGTAATGATCTGCAAGTCCCGGAGAGCAACAGCATAGCTCTGCCTGACGTTCTCATTAAAATCTATGCAGCCAAGCTCTGTGCTTTGTAGCAGCCGGCTTCCTCGGCTGGGAGGTGGGAGATGGGGGGAGGGGTGGACTAGGACCCAGTCAGCTGGGCTCTACTTATGCATTGGTACACCCCCAAAAATGCTGCTTTAAACCCAGAGCCCTTTAAAATGATGAAGGACCCTATGCAGGTAATCATGTGTCTTTAGAATCCTGTAATTGTGGAATGCAAAGTTTAGTGATTATTTAAACTGGGCCCAGGCTGGTAAGCCTATGGAACAATGGCCCATAAGGACTCTTAAGTGCTAAGGCCAAGAAACCACCTCCCTTTCTGGTCGGCTCAGCCCAGGGAACCTGCCCCCATTCCTGGGGCCCAGGGGCCCAGCTTCTGACCGTCAGGCAGTGTCAGAAGTGATTGGTGGCTTTGCCCAGGTGGTGAGATGAGTACATTCCAAAGGAGCCGCCTGGGGGAGGGGGCAGGCTCTTGTCCCTCGGAAGCTCAGAACAGCAGGCCCAAGCTCAGCTTGCCTCCAGGAGCTCGAGCGCCCTCAGAAACGACCTGGCCAATGTCACCGCAGAGCCGCGCGGTGTTGTCAGGCTAATGTGAAATCTCTTCCCGTGGCGCCAAGCTTCTGGCTCTGCAGCGCCGGCTTGGACAGATTGAGGTCTCTTGGCTTTGGTGACCCTCTGCTTAAGCATTCCCACCGTGTCCCCGCTCTGCTCTCCCCGTGCCTCCTGCTGCAGCCCCCTCCCCTGGCTCTGCCTGGGGGTGGGGCACTGCCCCAAGGCCAGGGCTTCCTCGGGGCATCGGGCTTTGAGCTCTACTGGGCTCCAGCTGACCTGGGGACCAGGTGTTGCCCAGAGATGCACCTGGGTCTGTGCCTCAGTGAATCATAGGGAACAATGTTATTGTATTGACTTTCAGTTAACTCACTTGAGAAACTAACCAATTTTTACTTACTGTCTAGAATGATGTACCTGTAGGAGAGTGACCATAAAAGTGCCTTCTTTTCTCTGATGTAAACATTTAGAAGGACCTGGACCAATGGATTCTTGGGTGTGTGTTCCACATCAAGATCTTAGGGAGTGAGCACATATGTAGTGGGGATACAGCCTGAAAATGGGTCCCTTTCCCCCCCTCCCCTCTGAGGATGGAAAAGGAGCTTCGGTTAGAGATCTGAGCTGTGGGGTTAAGCCAAACCCCTAAGTGACCCTTTCCCTTTGCCCTACTGCTCTCAGGTCCTTAAAGCCCTGTGGCTCCAAGTCTGGCCTCGTTTGCTTCCCTGCCAGGCTCATGTGTGTACATTAGCTCCCCAGTGACCTGAAGATTCCATGTAACTGTATACACGCGAATACGTAAATGCCAATGTTTTAAATAATTTGATAAAGTCTTTGTAGCCACTCGGCCACCTCTGGTGTGTGTGTGTGCTTAATGGGAGAAGTGGTTAGAAGGGGGCAACACAGCCAGCTCCCAAGGGAGGTCCAGTGTACGCGTGCGGGGGAGGGGGAGCAGCAGGCCCAGGATGTGGTGGTGCACCCTGTGGGAGGTGGGGATGAAGGCAGGAAACCCAGGTCCCCAGGCCCCCTCAGCTAGCTGAAGGGAGTGTGCTGGGACCAGGGGAGACGAGCGGCTGGCAGCCCCGCGCTGCAGCAGGAGAGGAGCACAGGCTGAATGCTGATGCCGCCTCCCAACATCTGGCCGGCATCTTGTCTGTTTCTCAGACCCAAGCAACTTACCTTAAATAGAACAATTTACAGTGAAATCCGATAAAAGGTTTAGGCTGCTGCACGCCCCTCTCCCAGGCGAGGGGGCTGGGTGTATATTCTGACCCAAAAGATGACCTGCCCAGGAAGCAACGGTTGTGGTTGTTCCGAGCACAGCTGCTGTGGTCAACTGTCCCTGGGGGTGACTTAGGAACAGACACCCAGTTCCGGGCCCAGCAGAAGAGGGGCGGGAGCAGGGTTGGTGGCTGGTCATGCCTGCGCTTCGGAGAGTCACCCACTGGCGTCCCAGGAGAAGGGGCAGAAGTTTTGAATTGTCAGCAACTGCTGCGCCAGCCACTCAGCTCATCACTGAAGGTGGGGGTCCAGGGGAGGGGGCGTGGGAGCCGCTCGCCCCTGTGGAGGCCCTCGCTCCACCCTCCTGCTCAGGCCTGTGTTTAGTCAGCACTTGGCTTCCCAAGGCTGGTGACTGACAGGCAGCCAGACGCCTGCCCTGGGAGAAGACAAAATGGTGTGGGAGCCGCCCTTGCTGGGGAATTGGAGGGAAGGAATGTGGTTCTGGAAGCCAGAGGTCCGAGCTTCCATTCCGGCCTCTCCACTGGAGCTGTCCCTCTGCACGTCGCTTCCCTGGGGGCTGATCCTGAGAACAGGAGCATTTACCGAGTGCCTACGGCCTGCCCCAAACGGCAGACATTTTGTTTCAACCTTAGGAGGCAAGGGCCCCCCAAATTGCACATGAGAAAAACAGGTTCAAAGGGGTAACGTGAGTTTGCTAAGATCACATAACTGCCCGGGAACAGCCAACCTTCCGAGCTGGCGCTCTGTTCACCGTGCAGCTTAACAGCGTTCAGAATCTGCAGCTAGAATCCCGGTCTTTGGTGTCATAAGGGGCATGTTACAGGGTTTCCCTTTTTGTCTATCCACTTCCTGGTGCCAGTTTTACAGGTAATGGTTAGTTTTGCTTTTGCTTTGAAATCAAGGGAGCTAGACTGAGGTTCAGCTGTTGTAGACCTTCAGAGTTGGAAATACCTGCCCCCAAAACTCCCTGGGTTTCGGATGGGGCTTCCCACAGACACACCCGACTTAGTACGGGCACACACACCTGTTCAGATGCACACGTTCATGCACACTCAGATGTACACACACAAATAGGTACCTACACACGTCAGTGGGCACAGGGACACTGGCACACCCACAGAGCCCTGCTCTTGTGTAAACAAAGACATCCGCACACAGTTACAGGAATACACAAAATCGCAGGCAAACCTCACAACGTGCTTGGGAGCCACCCCTCCCTTCTCACTGCCAGTTCCTCACTGCCCCCTCCTGGCCACCCAGTGGCCAGGGCAATCTGGCTCTATTTCCTGTAAATTCTGGGGGTGGTTGTCAGCTAGTTCCCCCCCGAGATCACGAGGTGGAAAGCATTTTCAGGTGCTCAGTCCCAGGAGATGAGGGTGTCTACAGGGGGTTCTGAAGCTGGAGGACAAAAAGCCTTTCAGATCCAAAGAAACCATGTGGTTGAATTGTCAGTACCGCGGTGTCAGGAGTTCTGCAACTGCACACACGTTCTCACACATAGAGAGGAGCGGACGTGCTGGCTGCAGTCAACAGATCTGTAGGCTCCCACCTTGCTCTCCCTCTCTGGGCCTCGCCTATTTATATAGATAGATAGATATAGATAGACATAGATATATAGATATAGATAGATATATAGATATAATGATTTCATAGAGGCAGGGAGAGGGAGAAAGAGATAGAAACATCAATGAACCCAGCTGGTGTGGCTCAGTGGTTGAGCATTGACCTATGAACCAAAACAAAAGGTCACGGTTTGATTCCCGGTCAGAACACATGCCTGAGTTGCAGGCTTGGTCCCCGGTGTGGGGCGTGCAGGAGGCAGTCGATCAATGATGCTCTCGTCACTGATGTTTCTCTCTTCCTTTCTGGGAAAGAAGGAAGTAAGGAAGGAAGAAAGGGAAGGGGGAAAGAAAAGAGAAAAAAGAAAGATCAGAGAGCATTATTAATCAGTATGTGTCCTGACCAGGAATCAAACCATGATGTCTTGGTTTATATGTCGACACTCAACCACTGAGCCACACCAGGTGGGCCTCACCTAGTCAGTGAGGAGCTGACCATGATGACATAGGCAGGCCCTTCCACTCTGGCATCTCATCATCTTCGGAATGAACACCTCCCTAGACGTGTGTGCCTGAGTAAAGCACATCCATAAACATGACCCCTTGGTCTCCTCAGACCAGTCCTGGGAGGGTTACCAACACAAAGCTTTTTATTCCTATTTTACAGTTGAGAAAATGATGCACAGAGAGGCACGGCAACTTGCCCAAAGTCACACAGCAAGTTGGTATCAAGCATGGAGATAGAAACTCTTTTTTCCAATGCCCCAGGTTGCCTACAACAGAGTAGAATACTCTGTGGGCTTGTCTCAGAGCCAATGAGACAGGAGCTACAGAGGCTAAAGCCAGAAGCTCTGCCAGGCAACTTGGAACGTGGGTGGGTTCCACCACTCCCCACCCCACCAACAGACTGCACCAACCTTAAGCTTCCTTTCCCTCTGCAGAGCCAGAGGCAGGCTACCGGAGTTTCTCCCTATGCTGTGGTCACTTGTAGCTTGTTCAAGTATTTACATGCATGTGAGTGGGGTGCACATGCGTGCCTGGACTCCACAGTGTGCACTCGCACATGTAGGTGTATGGTCGTGCATGCCTGCAAATATACTTAGGAGAACATTCATAGGCATGTGTAGTATGTATGTGTTTGCAAGCCTGTACATGTGACTGCATTTGTGTGTTTAGGTAAAGTGTGTGTGTTTTTTTTAAGTTTATTTATTGATTTTAGGGAGGAAGAGAAACAAAAAGAGAAACATCAATTTGTTGTTCCACTTATTAATGCATTCATTGGTTGATTCTTGTATGTGCCCTGACCAGGGATTGAACCCGCAACCTTGGTGTAGTGGGACGATGCTCTAGCCAACTGAGCTACCTGGCCGGGACTCGAAGTGTGTTTTGATGTACATATAAATGGTCTCAGGATATCTGGCAGGTGCATTTATGTACATGTCAGATTTTGCTTGCATGCGTACTGGGTTTGTTCGTGAGTGTACTTGGGTATGTGCAAATGTTCACATTCATTTGTGTGAAGAAGAGGGTGAGGCATGTCCATGCACACGACTGGTGAGTGTATAAATGTGCAGGAAGGGATGGCTTCATAGGACTGTGTATATGTGAATCAGAGGAGGCCCTCACAAGAAAATACGATGTTGGTGTTCCCCTAGCCCTGGTATAGGGGGTGCCCCGCCTGGCTGCAGTCAGGCACTGGGCTTACAGCACCCTCGCCCTGCTCCTGCACTCTATTCCCCAGACCCATCCTGCCTAGCCAATTTGCAGCCTCTTGCTCCCAGCTCCTGAGAAGGCCTGCAGCAAAGTCAAGGGGCTGGTGGCCAATTAGCGAGGGGGTTAATCAGGGATCTGGGGACCCCCGGGGGGTGGGAAGCCAGAAGGCAGGCATTGGGGTTGGCAGGAGCTGCCAGGAGCTGCCGCTGCCTGTCAGGCTGGAGGAGGGGAGAGGCAGGGAGGGGAGGCTGAACCAGCTCAGCTCCATGGTGCTGGAAACCAAGGGCCTGCCTGTGAATTCATGATTGCTGAGCATCGACAGCAGCAGGGAGCCTGTGCAACTGGGTACACTGTGTGCAAAAGGGCAGGTGCTGGCCTTCATTAAGTGTGGTCCTGTATGCAAATGTGTATACATGACTATGGATATTATCTGTTTACAGGTACAGTTTCATGTCTACATATGTGGGTGTGCAGATGGGTCTGGGACTGCATATTCAGACCCATGTGCACACATGTATACAAGGATAAGTCTGTGTCTGTGTGTATACACATGTATGCAAAGGTAAGTGGGTGTTCCTACATGCAACCATGTGCACATGAAGTTGACATGGTCTGTATACATGTGTGCAATGATATATCTGTGTACAGATGCATGTACCAGTGTGCAGATAATCTGGTTATACTTGCATGTCTGGGTGAGTATGCATGTGCGTATTCTCTGAACAGCAAGCGGCCTGGACCACCATGTGGGCCTGCATGCACGTGCCTGTGTGCAAGTGCCTGTGTACACAAAGGTCTCAGCACGCAGGGAGCTGGGCTATGGGGGCTGGAGGGCTCCAGGTTCCAGAGGAGAATCTGACAGACAGACTTGCCGCAGCCCCCAGCCCCGGGAGCCTGTTTTCCTGCCTGCAGAAGCTGTGAGCCCGTGAACTCATCTTATATTAATAGCTGCTGTCTCCTCACTTATTGCAGGGAGAAGCGGTCATGGCCCCAGCAGGGGCTCAGCACTCAGGCTGCCCCCACCCCTGGGAGGAAGGGGAGAGATGGGCCCCACCTCCAGCCCAGGGCCCACCCCAGCAGGAAGGCATGGCTCTGGGCCCCAACCCTTGCTTCCCCCAGTCCAGGGGGCCCAGCTCACCCTCCCAGACCTCTGTAGCTGGGTGGGGTTGGAAAACTGGCAGAGGCAGACAGGCTGGAAGTCTTGGCTACCCACCCCCAACACACACACACACACACACACACACACACACACACACACACACACACACAGGCATGCGGTCTTGAGCAGCCCCAGGCTGCGCACCAGATGAGTCTGAGGCTGAAAGAGACATAGAAGGCTTCAGTTTGAGAGGCAGACATGTCCCTTCTCTCAGGGACCCTCAGCTGGAGCGGGAACACACAGCCTTGCCTCCAGGAGCCCCCATTCCCACAAGGAAGGCGAGAAGTGCAGCAAGGTGTGTGTATAAAGCACATCACAGTTACAGGGCTTAGCCAGGGAGGCTTCCTGGAGGTGGGTGCACAGGGAGATCCTGAGATGCATCTGAAGAATCTGAGGAGAGAGGAGCCATCACGTGGGCACACAGGCTTCAGCTGGAGGCAGGTTCCGACACCCCTCAGGGTGGGCCCAGGACCCAAGGCAGAGACTCCAGATGCAGGCCCCAGAAATACCTCCTATCTACACACCACACCCAGACAGACAGGGGGTCCATGGGATGGGGGCCCACCACAGGCCTTCCCCGATGGGAGGCTGGCCAGCATTAAGCCCTGCTGAGCCTGCAGCCAGAAGCTGGGATGGGGAAGCCAAGGACCACGCCCACCCAGGGTGGGATGGGCACTGGTCGCTCTGCTTCTGGGCCTTGGTAGGGGTTTCTGTGCAGCATGGGGAGTCCGTCAGAGGCCCTTCCCCACACCACTCTCCTGTGTGAGTTTGAGCAAATGGCTGTTCCTCTTCGGGCCTCAGACTCCCCAGCTGTACAATGAAGGGGTGGGCAGGATGCTCTGAGGGCCCCATCTCCAGGCTTTGGCCCAGGTGGCTGGGAGGTGTGCTAGTCAGAGCTTCCTCTTCAGCCACACCTCAAACTGGCTTTTGCCCTTTCCTGGTGAACACACTGTTTC